TCACTCATAAATCTGGGGTTAATAGGGATATAGGTAGTTCTAGTGTCTCTGCTGCTACTCAAAGTCTTGCCAAGGTACAAAGAGAAGTTAACAGAATTCAAATTGATTTACTGCTGCTATTCCGAATCCGTGATCTGCAGTAAAACCTAAAAAAGGTGAGTTTCACACTGTGGTTTGAAAATGCTATGAATAGCAGGGGTTGTAGACAGCAGGGTTTAAACAAACAGACAAACAAGCCTTGAGTAAAGTAGCAGAGATCTCTCTACTTCATACAGTCATATAACTAATCTGGCAGGATTAATGCAACAGACCCACCCTCCCAAGCAGGAATCAGGCAGCTCTGGTGGAAGCAAACAACTGAGAGGAATCTTTTTCATTAGACAGAGGCTGTTAAGGTCACTTCATATTTATTAGTTAATGAGTGTTTGGGAAATAACTAGCAACTGATATGTAAGTGAAGCCCCTAAGTAGAATCCATGAACAAATCATTAAGAATCCCAACCACCATTTTTCAATAACTATGTCTGACTGAGCCTTTGGACCTCTCAGCCTGCACCACTTATGTTTCTTACCAGCATCTCACTAGTAGACATGAAGTAGAACCTAAGACAGACTGAAAAATGAGGCTTTGGCAACAAAATTTAGTTTGCATCCTTCCATGGAAAGCAAACATCGTTAAGGGAAGGATAAGGCACCAGTGCCTGTTATCACTGAATACTTCCTACAGCAAAGAAAGCAACTAAATGTATTTTTCATACATTCCCTTATCTAGTAGGATCTCTCGTGTAAGCACTGCAATCTCTCCCAGCTGACTCTCCCCTGGTCAAGCCTTCCTTAAGTGACACACTCAGCACTTTAGAAGCCCAAACACTGAAAAGCAGTCAACAACACTGGACCACCCATCAGAAAAGTAGTCCTCTCTTCTTTCCCTAACAACCGTCCAGTCATGACTTTTTGGCATGTCTGCCTGAAATTAAATCAAAGCAATTCTCATTAATAGTATATATACACAAACAACAGCATCAATATCAATGATGATTCTACCAATATAGCAGTTAGGATAAACTGTTATACCCAAATACTCCTATAGCCCTACAAGCATAACAAAACTATTACAGCTTCAAAGCCATCTCATCCAACTAAAACAGAGAGCAGCCTAGGCAATAGTGACCATGAAATCATTATGTTCACAGTCTGTCGCAAGGCTGACAAGACAGATACCAAGCTCAGAGAGTCTTAGATTTCAAAAACGCAAATTTTAATAAGCTCAGATCACTAGTAGAGAATGCCCTGAGACCAAGGACCACAGGTAAAGGGAGCGTGAGAAGAATGGACCTTCCTTAAGGACACGATCCTTAAGGCTCAGAAAAAATTAATTCCTTTACGGAGAAAAAGTAGCAGAAGAATCAAAAAACCCTCTTGGCTAAGCAGGGAAGTTGCAGCCCGCCCTCCTACAGAGGGACAAAGAGGCGTACAAACAATGGAAGCTTGGGACAGCCTCTAAGGAAGACTACTTGACAATGGCCGCCACTTGTAGAAACCAGATTAGGCAAGCTAAGGCGGAAACCGAACTAAAACTAGCTACAAGAATCAAGGACAGCAAGAAGTCCTTCTTTAGCTACATAGGGAGTAAAAAAAAATTTAATGAGAGCGTGGTGCTGCTGCTCAATGCCTCAGGATACCTGGTCACTACCACTCAGGAAAAAGCAGAACTCCTAAGTGACTACTTTGCTTTGGTCTTTCACAAGACCAAGGGGAACAACACGCCAGGTAGGGCACAGAACAAGCAGGGTGGGATTGACACAGTTCCCACCTTTGCCATAGAAGTGGTGTACGATCAATTAAAGAAATTAGACATATATAAATCAGCAGGACCCGATGAACTCCACCCAAGAGTGCTGCAAGCATTGGCCAAAGAACCCCGGCAAAGATCTTTCAGAAATCATGGGCCTCTGGAGTAATCCCAGAGGACTGGAAGAGGGCCAATGTTGTGCCCATCTTCAAGAAGGGGAAGCGTGAGGACCCGGGAAACTACAGCCCAATTAGCTTAACTTCTATGCCAGGGAAAATCCTAGAAACATTCATCAAAGAGACTATACGTGACAAACTTGCAGAAGGCATGATACCGAATGACAGCCAGCATGGCTTCATCACAGGCAGGTCTTGTCTGACCAACCTCATTTCTTTCTATGATCACGTGACTCATCACCTGGACAAGAGAAACGCAGTTGACATCATATACCTTGACTTCCAGAAAGCCTTTGACCTGGTATCCCACAGGGTACTGATCAGAAAACTGGAAGATATTGGGCTCAACTTCAGGACCATCAAGTGGATGCAAACCTGGTTGCGGGGTAGGATGCAGAGAGTCCAAATGAATGGATCAGTGTCGTCCTGGCAGGATGTGGAAAACAGCGTACCCCAGGGCTTGGTAGTTGGCCCAGCACTGTTCAACATCTTCATCAATGACGTGGATGAGGGGGTGAAAAGCCCATTTGCCAAGTTCGTGGATGGCACCAAGATATGGGGTTGTGCAGACACACCCACAGATAGGCTGCAAATACAAGCAGACCTAGACAGGCTGGCATGTTGGGCAGAACAGAGCCAGATGAGGTTCAACATAAGGAAATGCGAAGTGCTGCATCTGGGCGGGAAAAACCCCTATCAAACCTACAGGCTGGGCATCACTAACCTGACCAGCACTACAAAAATGAAAGGGATCTGGGCGTAACAATAGACCCCAGCATGAATACGAGCCAGCAATATGACAGTAGCCACTAGGATTAATAAAACTCTGGCATGCATCAATCAATGCATCTCCAGTAAAGCCAAAGCGATTCTCCTGCTTTACTCAACACTGGGGCAGCCGCAGCTGGAGTACTGTGTCTAGTTCTGAGTGCCGCACTTCAACAAGGACATGCTAAAGTTTGAGAGGGTCCAGAAAACAGCCACCTATCTGATCAGGGACCTGCACGACAAGCCATACACGGAGAGGCTGAGGGATCTCGGACTCTTCAGCCTAAAGAAAAGAAAGCCAAGGGGACCTGATTGAGGTTTACTGCTATATCAGAGGTGTACATCAGGGGCTTGTTCACCAGGGCACCCTGGGGGAAAACTAAAAACAACAGCCACAAACTCCTGGAACATAGTTTGGAATACAGGCTGAACATTAGGAAAAAATTCTTCACAACTAGGATGACCAGACTATGGAACAAGCTCCTCCCAGAGGTGGTGCACTCTACCCCTAGAGGTCTTCAAGAGAAGACTGTACAGCTACCTGGCTGGGGTCACCAGAACCCAGATGTCTTTCCTGCTCATGCAGGGGGATGAACCCAATGATCCTTCAGGTCCCTTCTAGTCCTATGATTCAAGATTAAAAGATTCAGCATCTTAGCCACGTTGCATCACTATAGATATACAAAGATCTAAGAGCTACATCATTCATGACTCTCATTCACCAATAGCATTTTCTCCTTCTCCTTTTAAAACTGTTAAAAGTTATGTTTGTCCATAGCCGAAAGCAGAATCTTAAGGTTTCACACATTATAAAAAAAACAAAAAAAAAAACTTATCAGTTTTGAAAATAGCCTTAATATAAAAAATGAAGCACAAACCAATGTACTGCAATTCCTTAAAGAGAACCTGAAAGACAAGCAGAGAGAATGGCCGCTATTTGCCTCAGGGCATTGCCAGGGTCAATATTGTTAATTATTTGTTGATCAAAGCACAGAAGAACGCTGTGGGAAACCCTATCAAACTGAAGTCTTCTGCAAATAGAATTATGGCTGTTTATCAAGCAAGTGTAGCGTTACTTAGGCTCTGTCTGGATTTGAGTAAAGAAATATACAACTCTCCTCATTCCCCAATTTATCATGCGGCTCCTTCCCCCTCTGCACCTCATTTGTGGGCAGGCAGGTAAAATGCTTATGAAACTAAGAAAATGAGACTCAGTGGGCACGAGATGCTAAATGCCCAATAAACTAATTCTACTGTGCAGTAGCACATCAGGGTGAAAGCTGTGCTATCCCGCTAAAGCACAGAGGAATGCATAGCCTGGTGCTACTGTGCAGCAGCACCACTTACTGCCCATTTCGCTGGTACCTGTTATTACAGGGACTCCACTTATTGTGCAATAACGACAGCACATTAAATGTAGGTGCAAACATGTTCAGGGTGGCCAGCTGGGCTATACCTTCCCCAACTGTCAAAACATTAAGGGGCTGGGAAGAGAGAGAGGAAGGAAGGAAGAAAACAAACCAAGAAAGCTACACCCACTTACAACTCTAAACCCTGGCATTGAACAAGAATATTAATAAGCTGGATCCCTGGTGTTTGGGGAATCCTAACAACTCTTCAAGAACCTTGTTTTCTACTTAATCCACATGACTAGGTCGAACCAAAGGCCCAGGGGATGACATTTAAAAGTAGTCTGTGCCAGGGGTGGATGTGGAGAGCGGGGAAGGGGTGTGCACCGATTCCTGCTCCACCCAGTTTAAACCCAACTGCCTGGCACTGGCAGGGACAGGACTTTAGCCAGACAGTGCTGCAGGAGCCCCTAACTTTGCAGGAGCAGCTCCCACTCCCCGCCTCCTTTTCAAGTGCTTCGTTCCATGCCGTTACTGTCTGTCCACTCCCACCCGCGTCACTTACCCGCCCCCAGCGCTGGGCACTGCGCATGCTGGGGCACCAGAGGGCGGGGCGAACTACCGTACCAAGCATGCGCAAGCAATACCCCACCCCCGGCAGCTCCCACGCAGGTTGGGTTGGGTTGGGTTGGGTTGGGGTGGTGAGGGGGCCGATTCCACGCTCCGCCCCCCCCCCCCCCCCCCCCTTCCCCCCCCCCGGGGGCCCCTCCCTTTCCCTCTTCCCCC